TGCCTAAAATTTTTGCTGTTTTGGGGCAGAAAAAAAGACACCCAATCCTACCATATGTAAACAATTACAGGTTTCTGTTTTACCCCACTTGGCAGGACAGTAGTCCCCTCCCTGGCTTTTACTGTCTACCACCTACTCCCTAGGTATTATCATTATTATTATCAAATTGTTCTAATACAGTGGCCATTTTCCACTGAAGCAGGGTAACAAAAAAATAAAAGGCTCTTTTTTTTTAAAATTTTAGCAATTTATACAAGAAAAGGGTTACTAGCTCCTTGCTCTATGACACTAAGGATTACGAGGAAGAATTCTTTTCCACTTCCCCATGGGATTTTTATTAATAATTTTAAATGGGGGGAAGAACTAAACCGGGAATGGGAGGCATTTAGGTTTTTCCCCAAGGGGAAGGAAAATTTTCCGAAAACTAATTTTCACGGCTCTAGGCCCCCTCCCTTGGGGAAGCATTAGGGGGCAGAAACTAAACCCAAAAGGATAAAAACACCTGAGGAAGGAAGAGGGGAGGAAACCATTTTCACCAAGTTAAAAATTTGCTTCAAATTCCTGGAAAAAGGTCTTTCACTGTCATAAGACACAATTCAAATTTAGTGGAAACAAAAGTAAATCTCCCACAAAACCGTGCTATCTTCCAGAGAAGGGGATAGCTCATGAAAACCCAAAAACCCTGGGCAAGCTCAACTCCAGGTTAAGCAAGCAAGAGTAATGGCTTCATGCTCAGCAAATAGCAGACAGTTTTTACTCAGGATTTTGAGGTCAGGGTCCCCTAGAAAAGGAAAACTCACTATGCAAGCTGGGACTCAATGAAATCTTTAAACTATAAAAAAAAAAAAATGCATTCGGGGGAAGTGAGATAATAAAAAAAACCACCGGGCAATTACAACTAATCGGTTAAGATGGTCCAAAATTGTTACTGAGCGGGTGGGTCATTTTGAGGGGGGGATTTTGGGAAAGGGAATGCAAGGTTCCCATTATTTTTTTTTAACACACCAGCCATCCCCCACCAGGGTAGGGTGACCAAAAAGAATAATACTTTCACCATCCTCACTATTACTCTTTTACCAGGGGCATACGTCAATAAATCTCGATGCCCCTCCAAAACGCAATACCCCCACCCTTCCCCTTTGGGGTGCAGGCACTGTACTGCCCACCTCCGGGACTCAAGCCCACTAACTGGTTTCCTGAACCCCCTTCATAAATTTTTCCATGCTCACCCTCCAACACAACAAGTCATAAAACCCCCCTTTACTTCCACAAAACCTCTACATGCTTGCACACACCTGTTAGATGTCCAAGTTTTTAAACTCAAAGCCTTCCTTTCCCCCCCTCCCCCCTTTTCCATGGGACAACCTCTACCCTTCTCTCCCCCAATTTTACACCCTTAAGTCATCTTATTTTCCTCCACCTCTCTAAATGTCCAAACCCCCTTTACTAACCTTTCCTAGCCCTGGGGGCAAATTTTTTTGTAATCCCATCCTCCTTTTAATATCCAAAATAAAAATTTCCCGCATAACTTCACATCACACATTTTCCTCGGGCACATCTCCAGTGCCTCCAGCCCCTTTTCCCTTTCTGCAATGTTTTAAAACCCTGCTTTTACACCCCAAAAAGAGTTGGTACCACTAAACTCTGTACCCCCTTATTGCCTACATGGGTAAGGCCTTTTTTATCCCAGATGCCTTGAGACCCCCCCACCTTTTTCCTTCAAACAATTTATAGTTTATTTCATTTCAGGACCCCCTAACTGACAGATCCACCCTAATTATTATTATTATTATAACAAAAGGGGGGAAACGCTAAACCCGGGGGATTTACAGGCCTGGGGGGGGGGGGGATGTGGGAAGGCATTCGGTTAATTTTGGGGGAAAGGACACAGATCCAATTTCCCCCTTAAAAAGACCCCCCACCAACATCAAGGACCTTCCTTGAGGGGGGATCCACCCTAAAAATGGGAAAATGTTCCTTCCCCCATACTCCCTTCTTTCCCTCAGATATCCAGTCATTCATTACTAAAATTTTTTTTTTACTCTCATCACCCTCTCTTTCCTATGTTCCCTTTTATTTTTTCCCTTCTTTCAACCCCCCGGAAAGGGAGGGAATCAGGTTTTTATTCAAGGAAGTCCGATACTTCCCAAATTCCCTTTGGTGAGAACCCCCTCACTGTATCAAGAAACTCGCTTGAAGGAAGGGGGTGGGGGGTGAGGGGTTGGTTTTGGGCATGGTTCCCAACATGCCCCCAAAACCCCAAATGAGAGTTGGGCACCCCTGCAGGGTTTGCACTTTCGCACATGCTGTCTTGTTGCTTTAAACCCCAAGGTTTCACTGGTTTAAAAAAAATTTCACTTTTAAAAAACAATTTAGGGGGACTCAAAAAAATCGTAATCACATTGCAAAAAAACCATACCCCCGGCCGGGGTTTTAAACCCCCGGGCATGAGTCCAAAACCCAGGGCCCCTCGCGTTAGCCCCAACCACGCCACAAAGATTCATCCAACTAGGGGATATTTTTACAAAACCCTGGAAAGTTAGCACAGGACCCTGTGACCACAAAAGCAAAGTTTTTACAGACTAATTCCAGCTAGTGTGCCTGACAAAATCTAGCTCAAGTCCCCTTTACGCCGTCAACATGCTCAAGAAATCGAATGACACGATTGTTGACGGCAGGAAGGGCTTTAGAAGTTCGTCACGGCCCGCTGCTGGGGATTCGTCTGTAAAAACTTGCATTTGTGGTCCGAGGGGCCTTGCTAATTTTCCCATGGTTAAAATATACCAAAAAATTTTTATAACTTATTTTGGCTAGCTGGGCCGTGCAACGGAGGGCGGGGTTTTTAGACTCTATACCCCGGGTTCAAACCCCCGGGGGGTTTGGTTCAATATAGGGTCCTGAAAATGATATTCACAGTAATACAGTTTTGTACTACAGATTTTAAAAATGTTGAGTACAACGGGGGTACCGTATATCAAGTTGCTGTAATCTGTGACTGATAAAAAGAATTCCCACCACCCCGATTGGGCAAAAATTCTCCCCATCTCTTTTTTAAATTTAAAATTCCAGACCAAATGACTGTCTGTTTTCTCTTCTCCATGAAAAAATATTTTATTTTTTTCTAAAACTGAAAAAAATTTTTTGAAGATTTCAAAAAATCTTGAAATATGCATGTATTTAGCCAAACCGAGTTCAACATTTCTTTTATTATTTAAACCCTTTCACTGTCGACCCCCCCTCCCCAAAACTTCCTTTTTGTTGAAGAATTTAAAAAAAAAAAAAAAATCATTTTTACTTATGAAATGATAGAGAAACTTTCCCCATTGGTAATGACACCCCAAAATACAAAATTTGAAGAAAACGTACGGGAAGTCTCACAAAGTTAGCAGTCTTGGGGAATTTTACACATTGGCAATTTCACCCCGTTGACACTATTTTCGCCCCAATTCCACTGTTCCAGTCAAAAAAAATTCACAGCATTTTGCTAAACTCCATTTGTTCTATCGACTGAGTACAAGAATCACCCATTTCCAAATTTCAACTATCAAAAAAGTGGGAAGAAATTTCCCAAATTTTGGGCCCAAATTTTACAAAATTTCAAAAGATTCGTTTCAAAAAGAGTCCAAATAAAAAATGAGACAATTCGGGGACTAAAAAAACATATTCCTGTTCATAAGTCAGTTTCCGGCCCCCTCTTATATTACCTTGCTTTCCATTTTGAATTTTTATTCACACAAAAAAAAAGAAGTTTACAGTTTTGTAGACTACTGCTTATTGTAATAATTTTATAAAAAATTTTCATCCCATTGTGAGCGTATTTGACTGGCCAGTTGGACACAATTGGACAGTGTTTCATTTGTTTATTGAACATCAGCAAAAATCAAACATTTTTTTTAATTTGAGCCAATTTCAAGGTATTTTCATCATGAAACCAATCAAAATACTCTATTCGTTAATACTTTCCATTCCATAAATAGACCCGAAAATGAAATCAACCATAAATAAACCCTATAAAATACACCTCAATTAGTGTTTTTAAACCAAAAACACAGTTTTTTTTTTTTCTATTATACACTGTGTGCTGCGGATTTTTTTATACTGCTTTCACTGATCACAAACCCATTCTTCACATGTAGGTCAACCCGCTTTCTCCCCCCGATCGAAGCCCCTAGAATTTTGGGTATTAAACGGCAACAACACGGGGTGTAAGCCATCTAATACACACCAACATGAAAGGGTTTAAAAGGAAAAAGCTAGGGGAGGGATATATCTATTTCTATTACGAATTGAGGGTATTTTCTACCTGCCCTAAATCAAGTACAAAATATGTAAATAAGACACATACAGTTTTGGGATATTTTAAAGAGGAAATGTTGTTTTATGAAATTTTTCTTTTCAGTCCGAAAAGGATTGCACAAAAAAGTTTTCTCTTAAAACATCTTAACACTATACATGTTTTTATTCCCTTTTCTCTATTTTAACCCTATCTTACCCAGTACAAGTAAGATGAATGTAAATAACCTGTTCATAACCTTAAACAACTTATAAAAACAAAACAGAGCAATATTGTACAACTGCTGTCCACAAATACAGCACAGCTCAACCATTATTACCAGGTACCTCAAATTTTAGGCCAACAGACCACCAAAATGGCACACAATGAAACATCAGCCATTACAAACCTTTTCCAGTTTCACTTATAATACTTTTAAGAATATTCATACCCTTATAACTGCATAAAGCCCAACTGACAAATTATTATGTTGGATCATTTGTGTTCTGTAACTTTAAACACTATAATATTCTATTAGTTTGAAAATTTGAAATGTAAAGCTGTACAATAAAAAGAATAGAAGACATAAGCAGCAGATATAATGCTTCATTGAGCTTACAAATGCATAAGTCTTCAGACAAAACTATGTGACATAGTGAGATCTCATGTCAAAATAACCCAATAGAGTGTTGAGTACCTTAAGGAGAAGGGTAAGTTCCATGCTATGAATACTCAAGTCTTTATTCAAAGAGTCATTTTACAGTGGTCACAATACCTGTGATCCAGTTAGTGGCACCTACAAAAGCACGGATGTTATGGACAAAACTGGTAATGTATGTAAGGAACAACAATCAACACAGTTTCAGCCAACTTCATTTGTAGAATTTCACATAGCCAACATATTTTATCAAGAAATATTTTCTTATCCAAACCAATTAAAATGTAGACAAAAACTGCATAACTTTAGAGACTTCTTTATTGAATTTCCAGAACCACTTTTCCTGTAGACATCCTTTCTGTCATGAACGTGAATGCTGATTTACAGTCCTCCAGCTTAAATAAGGCAGATATATGTGGCTTGATAAGTCCCATTTCATGCATTTCTATCACATCTTCCACTACTTGTCTGAAAATTAAAATTTTTGTTTTTAATTCTTAGGCTCAAATAGAACAGTAAATATTTTTATGATATCATGAATAACATTTTAACTCGGATGGATAATTTACATACACTATTTTTAACAACCTAACACAGTAAACACTTCAAATAACTATTTTTCTAAATGAACAGTGGCCTGGTGGCTAAAGCTCTCGTTTCATACAGCAAGTGTCCGGGTTCGATTCCCGGTGAGGGTAGAAACACTTGGTGTTTCTTTACATCAGTTGTCTGTTCCCCATCAGTAAAATGGGTACCTGTGAGCTAGTCGACTGGTGTAGGTCACATCCTGGGATAAAATTGATGTAATTTGCCCGATATGCTCTGCATAACAAGTGGCTTTCTATATAGTAGTAGTATGTCATTAGCCCCCTGACTGTTGCAACCCCAAATCCTGAGGTGTCTCCTGGTGTCGCAAAATTTCTGAAAAAAAAAAATTATTTTTTCTTATGAAATGATAGAGAATCTTTTCCCGATTTTAATGACGCCAAAAGAATGGAATTTGATGGAAAAGTGACAGAACTACGCTCTTGCGAAGTTAGCAACCTCGGCGATATTTACGAATCGGCGATTTCACCCACTTTGAGCCCTATTTTCAGCTAATTCCACTGTTCCAGCCGACCAAACTCATAGCTATTTCTTTAGAACTCCATTTTTTCTATCGACTGAATACAAGAAACTGCCCATTTACCGATTTTAACTACCCAATAACGTGATCAGAAATTTGTAATTTGGCCAATTTCATGAAAATTAAAAAATATGACAATTTCAAAATAGGGTCCAGAATGAACCCTGCAGACATTCCTGGCTCTAAAATAACATTTTCTCTGTTTATCAGTCACATCTCCAGGCCCCTCTGATAATACTTTTGCTTTCTATTTTGAATTTTTATTCAAACAAAAAATAGAAGATTTACTGTTATGCAGACTACTGCAGTATTGTAATAATTGAATAAATAATGTCAACCTATTCATGACTGCATATTAGAATGGCTACTTCGACATTTATTGGAAAATGACATCATTTGTTTACTTTTGAACATCGGCAAAAATCAAACATTTCCCCTACCTTGAGCTCCATTTAAAGGTTCTTTTCATAGTAAAAGCAATCAAAATCATCTCTATTTCTATAATATGTTTTCCATTCTATCAAATGAGACCAAGAAAACGAGAATACAACCATAAATATTAAACGAAAATAGACCACAAAGTCGGCATTTTAATTAAAAAAAACTGTCAGTTTTTTTTTCTCATTATGCACTGTGTGCTGCAGGAATTTTTTTATATGGTGCACACTGAACCACACAGACCCATTCTCTCACATGTGGGCCTACAGCTTTCTCCTGCTTGATTTGAAGCCACTAGAATTTATGAGTACAGTATATATATGTCAAACACGGTGGCTCTTAAGACGTATACAGTGGACCCCCGGTTCGCGATGCTATCGGTATCCTATAAATCCAGTAACCGATGCATTATATCGCAGAAAATTTGCCTCACTTCCCGATACAAAACCCGGTATGCAATGTTTTTCGTATGAGATGTGTCCATGTGTGGCCTGAACTGCCCCGTGTGTGCCAGTGTTTACAAGCCAGCCAGTGTGCGCGCATCTAAGGATACATTCGGTACATTCCATATTATCCATATTATCACTGTTTTTGGTGCCTGTTTTTGCAAAATAAGTCACCATGGGCCCCAAGGAAGCTCCCAGTGCCAACCCTTCGAGACCAAGGGTGCTAATGACTGTTGAAATGAAGAAAGAGATAACTGCAAAGTACAAAAGTGGAGTGCGTGTGTCGGAGCTGGTCAGGTTGCATAGTAAACCCCAATCAACCATCTCTACTATAGTGAGCAAGAAAACGGCAATCAAGGAAGCTGTTCTTGCAAAAGGTGCAACTGTGATCACAAAAACAGCGACCGCAAGTGTTAGAAAATGTTGAGAGACTGTATTGGTGTGGATAAATGAAAAAACAGATAGCAGGAGATAGCATCTCTCAAGCATCATTTGTAAAAAGGCTAGGCAGTTGCATGACGATTTGGTAAAAAAATTGCCTGCAACTAGTGGTGATGTGAGTGAATTTAAGGCCAGCAAAGGTTGGTTTGAAAGATTTAAGAATCGTAGTGGTATACATAGTGTGATTAGGCATGGTGAGGCTGCCAGTTATGTTGTGCGACAGAAGTCCAGTGACTCTGAAGCTGGTCCTAGTGGCATTAAAAGAAAAAGGGAAGTAACCCCGGAAAAGGACTTGCTACTTCAAGTCCTAATGGAGGGGGATTCCCCTTCTAAATGCTAACACCATCCACACTCTCCCCTCCTCCCATCCCATCAATCATCACCAGATCTTCATTAAAGGTAAGTGTCAATTATTCTTTCATTATTTATTGTTATTTATTGTTATTGTTGTTATTGTAATTACTATTCTATTGCATTAAACTTAATATTTCATGTGGTAAAAGTTTTTTTTTCATACTTTTGGGTGTCTTGCACGGATTAATTTGATTTCCATTATTTCTTATGGGGAAAATTGATTCGCTTTCCGATATTTTTGGTTTACGATGAGCTCTCAGGAACGGATTAGTATTGTGAACCGGGGGTCCACTGTATATACGATCAAAACAGTCAGAGGGATAATGTCAGTTAGGCCTGTATACCTTGTACATGTACTTTTAGCAATAATAATAATAATAATAGTTATTATTATTGTTTATAATACAAGTATACTTCAACATGATACATTGTTTATACACGTTAAAAGCCCATAGCTATGCAGAACATTTCAGTAGTGGTTGTCCCAGGAAGGGTTGGAGGAAGGAGGCTAAAGGTGGTTTTGAAGGCTAGGAGCCTGAGTATCTAACAGCCTTGCATGAATGTATTAGATCATGACTTGACATGCTGTTGCAGTGTGAGCAAAGAAACATTTATGAAGAGATTCAAGGAAACCAGTTAGCTGAAGGTGGGAAATACAATGACTTCACTTTAACATTTTCACTGTCTCCCATGTAGCTCTACATTACTGATGCCAACATTGCTTACATAGATGTACTCATATATTCTAGTGGACTCAAATTTGGTGAGACAGCCCTGATAGTCCTAGATATGAGAAAGGGTCTGTGCTGTCAGTGTGTGCAATATAAAAAAAAACTGGATCTACTGCAGTGCATTGTGGGAATGCCTATTTAATTTACCATTGTTCATTCTCCAGTAACAGCTCCAACAATGAGAATATCACATCCAAAGATGAATTTTAAGGGTTCAAATGTTTATATTCAAGAGTTATCATCAAACACATTATAAGTGAGAGCAACAGATTCAAGAGTTATCATTACTTTTCACTTTTAGTTATTTGGCAGCAACCATAGTATGTAATTATTAAATCTACAGTATATAGCCAATCTCTACCCAAAAAACATGAACTCTCTGCAAATGCATAAACAGAATAAACACACAATACCAATACATTTGGAAAATGTAACACAATGAGAATTTTTTATAATTCACGAAGATTTAAGAAAATCGTATATATATTCAATTGTTAGTGCTTCATTAACCCTCAAACTGTCCAAACGTAAATCTACGTTTGCACTGCTAGCGCTCCAAACATAGATCTACGTTTTATTTTTCCTGCCTCCAAATTTGGCATGATTGGGCTGAGATGCCTGGTCAGTATAGAATGGGTCTTAACACTCAGTGTGTGCAGTATTAAAAAAATCCTGGACCACTTAGTACCTTGTGGGAGCACCAGAAAAACTGAGCGCCAGCTACAGCAAATAGCGTGGCAAACACCAGGGATTCACTGATGCCCTGTCATATTAACACTTCCCTTGTAAGAGGAAAGTTATGGATGTGGCCACAAGTGATCAAGGAAATATCAAAAACCTCTATAATAACCCATGTGTAACATTTGTGCAACATCCTTTCATTTTTTTTACCACTGGCTGTCTCTCTGTCTGTATCTGTCTGTCTATCTGTCTATATCTCTGTCACATGTACACATAAGCACAGTTATTATACATAGTGTAAATTACCCAGGATAGCCCAAAAATTCCAGGCAAAGTGCTATACGGTGCTTGTAGACAGAAGACACAGTATCCATGACTGGTAACTCAGTGGCAAGTAATATGCATTTTCACTTCATCAGGAATCAGACATAACTACTGCATCGTGCATAATACCTGTTGGTTTATGAGCTGCTCTCTGAGACTGAGAGACAAGCAGATAAAAAGACACACACACAGGCAGATAGAAAGACTGAGACACACAGGCATACAGAACGACACACACACACAGGCAGACAGAAAGACAGATACACACAGGTAGACAAACAGACCAAGACACACAGGCAGACAGAAAGATAAGCAGATAGACAGACAGACAAACAGATAGACAGACAGACAGACAGATAAATAGACAAACAGACATACATGTAAACAGTGTAAACAAATAAAGCCAGGGTTCCCTGCAGCAGGGCACTATCATTGTGTCACTCCACTGCTTACCCTGTCAGCAGTTTAGTGACACTCATCATAAACACCATGCATCAAGAAGTTTCGTATATACTCCAGCATGTCTAAAACATTGCAGAGACTTACAAATATTTTTTTTTTATTAACACATCGGCTGATTCCCACCAAGGCAGGGTGGCCTGAAAAAGAAAAACTTTCATCATCATTCACTCCATCACTGTCTTGCCAGAGGGGTACTTTACACTACAGTTATAAAACTGCAAAATTAACACCCCCTCCTTTGTATATATTTCTAGACAATAGTAAATGACCAAGGCAGGTGAAAATGTACACCTGCTTGTGTGACTGTGACTCTTTGAGTACTATTTCAGTACCTAATACACCTACCATCCGACTTACAACCTGCTCGACTTACGACCACTCGACTTACGACCGTGTTTTTTATGCCAAATTTCTGGGAAATAAACAACTATTTGTGTTGTACACAGTGTTTATCCTAAACCTTACAGTATAAAATACAATACAGGAAGGCCCCACTTATACGGCTGGTTAGGTTCCAGGCTACCGCCGTAAAGCGGAAACCGCCATAAAGTGGAACACCATTTTTTTCCACTTACAAATGCATACAAACACTAGATAACAAGTTTACACTAACATATATTAAGTTAGCAATAGAACCAGCATCAAAAAACAATAAAAAGTACAATACACACATAGTGCACTCATTACTTACCTTAAAATATTTATAGTCTTAATCTAGGGTGAGACAAGTAGTATTTATTGTAAGAAATCAAGTGTGGTATGTATGGTAGTCAGCCAGGCTACCATACCAGGCCACCCCACCCACATACAATTCTATGATATTTAAGCATCCCAGAGCGATAAAATGTATATACAGTTCACTCATTACTTACCTTAAAATATAGGGTGAGATGAGTAGTATTTATTGTAAAAAATCAAGTGTGGTATGTATGGTAGTCAGCCGGGCTACCATACAGGCCAACCCACCCACACAATATTTCCATGATATTTAAGCATCCCAGAGCGATAAAATGTATATACAGTTCACTCATTACTTACCTTAAAATATTTGTAGTCTTAATGTAGGGTCAGGAGTAAGTAAATGAGATAAAACGAATAAATGAGAGAGAGAAAGAATGAATGCATGAGAGAGGACAGGCGCAGAGTTATGTAAACAAACCAGGCGAAGGTAAGTTTTGTAAACGAAGTGTACACGTCTGGTTTGTGTACAAGTTACATTGTGTACAGGTTGTCTCTACATTGATACGGTAGAATAAATAAAGAAGAACACTCCCATTCTCATGTAACATCATTTTGAGAAGAAATGATGCTCTGAGTGAAGGCAATGGAAATAAGTCACTCTGACTTTTTTGGGTTATCCTAGGTTCTCTACACATATGTTGTTATGTTTACCTGGAGTTTACCTGGAGAGAGTTCCGGGGGTCAACGCCCCCGCGGCCCGGTCTGTGACCAGGCCTCCTTAGGTCAGTGTCCCAGGATGCGACCCACACCAGTCGACTAACACCCAGGTACCCATTTTACTGATGGGGAACATAGACAACAGGTGGAAAGAAACACGTCCAATGTTTCTACTCTGGCTGGGAATCGAACCCAGGCCCTCGCCGTGTGAAGCGAGAGCGTTAACCACCAGGCCACCAGAGCCCCCTAACGTATGTATGATAATCTATGTAACTGTATTTGTGTATACCTGAATAAACTTACATACATACGAAAGGAATAATTTTCTACAGTTATCCCCAGTAACACATTTTCTCTTATGTTAGATTAGAGAAAATGTTATTCTTGGCATCACTTGTACAAGTTACCTGGCTACCACATCTCATATTTATGTTTATTTATTCTATTGTAGGGTGTATTTATCATCTTTTTATGTTTATGTATCGTGTTTATTATATAATTTTGAAAAAAATATCATGGATGGATTAATGAAAATGTGTATATTAACGTAATATACAACATTTAATAAGACTCGGTGATTATTATCATTATTATTATTAGCATTTCTAATATGGCGTCACTTGTGCAAGTCGTCTGCTACCACATCTCATATTTATGTTTATTTATTCTATTGTGGGGTGTATTTAACATCTTTTTATGTTATGTATCGTGTTTTATTATATAATTTTGAAAAAATATCATAGATGGATTAATGAAAATGTGTATTTAACGTAATATACGACATTTAAATGAGACGATGATTATTATTATCATTACTAATATGACGTCTGGAGACATAAGACACTCTTACTGATTTTAATGTGTACCTGCATGCCAGCACAGTATGTAAGTTTATTTAAGTACAGGTATACATAAGTATAATTATCAGAGTATATATAAAATATGAAATAACTTTTAAAAACATTTGAAATTTTGGAGTTTCCAGACAAAATGGAGAGACTTAGTGCTTACTGAGCTCACGCAGAATGTAAACAAACAAGGTGGGGCGCGGTGACCGTATTAGAAAGTCAGGTGGGGGGAGCCGTATAGCGAGTTTTGGTCATAATTTGAAATGACCGTATTAGCGGAACGCCGTAAACTGAAATGCCGTACAGCGGGGCCTTCCTGTACTAACAACATAAAAAGTAAAGTAAAACATGAAATACCAAAATAAAACAATAAAATAAAGTCTTTACAAAAATGTTTTGTTGATATTCAGTAGTAAAGTTCGACTTACGACCATTTCGACTTACGACCGGTTTCTCAGAACCGAACTCGGTCGTAAGTCGGATGGTAGGTGTATTAGTGTCAGAACAAAGATTGGCTATGAAATCACAAGAACTACTATAAATTGTAATTATCAGAACATAGAAATTAAATAAATTAAAATAAAAACGAGTAAAAAAGATACAGTATATTGACAACACTTCTGCAAGCGGCAGAACTCCATGTTGCTGGCAGGTGAGCATCCAGCACCAACTTCGCCGTTTTATATTTCAGCAAGTACTAGTCCTAAAATTTTTTTATTCTCTTATAACACACAGAAAATTGCCCTCTTTAATTTAAAAAAAATTATTTTTTTATTTTTCAAAATACAGTGGACCCCCGCTTAACGATCACCTCCCAATGCGACCAATTATGTAAGTGTATTTATGTAAGTGCGTTTGTACGTGTATGTTTGGGGGTCTGAAATGGACTAATCTACTTCACAATATTCCTTATGGGAACAAATTCGGTCAGTACTGGCACCTGAACATACTTCTGGAATGAAAAAATATTGTTAACCGGGGGTCCACTGTATTTGGAGCGCTGGCAGTGAAAACGTAGATCTACGTTTGGACATTTTAAGGGTTAATCTCTGCCAAACAAACATAAGCTCTCTATACAGCATAAAATTAACATACACAAAATACAGGTGCATTTGGTAAAAGCTAATGAGAAAAACAAGACGGGTAATGAAAATAATTTACTTTGAACATTTGCAATGATCATATATGCAAATTAGTGTTCCTAAGTAATTATGTACTTGGTTCTCAAGTGTCATTATCATAAATGTGACATACTGTGAGTCAAGGTTCTATTATGTGCCAGATTAAATCTGGTTAGCACTAACACACAGCTTTACAGTCAAAAAAAAAATATCTATCCACACTCCAAAACAAAATGATTTTGATTAGACTTCCGAAAATAATTCATTGTGTTATCTAATTCTACCTGTTTGGTGATGCTTAATAATATCAGTGTCTCAAAAGTTTCATTTATTAAGTGGTCATTTTAAGAGAGTTCAATGTAATGAAAATTAATGCACTACATGTGAAGCAAATTATACGATGATGCAACATATACATAAACCATTAGAAAGTTCTTACCTGTATACAGTGTTGTTTGCATCACGGTAGTGTGTGAGGGAGAGTCCTATCAAGGAGACGGCCTTGGGTAACAGCTGACTGGTTTCAATGTGGGGGATAACACGACTGGCAAACCCTGCAACTATGACACTACCTTCGTGTGCCACACTGAAATATCAATTAACTATGAGAATTTTTCATTCACACCTCCTCATTATCTGTACTTTCTCTAACCCACATTTCCCCAATAGCTGCCTATATCTTACTCTATCTCCTCTAATTCATTCACTTTCACTTCATTCTTACCCACTGATGACATTCTCCTTGTACTCCATCTTCCTCTTACTCTTACTGTAGTTATAACTAAATACAGCCTCTCCTCACTTAACGATGGAGTTCCGTTCCAAAGACCATGTCATTAAACGAATTCATCGCTAAGTGAGGAGCATACTATAATGGAAGTGGGTTTGTGTCAACCATCTTTGATACTATTTTAATGTCACCTTTGCACCATTTATAACATTTCTGGTATATTTTTAAATGTTTATACAGTAGTGTACTGTATACTGAAATAAACAGAATAGAGGAAATCAGCTCTAATATACATTATTTAGGTATGAATGCTGGTGAGAGCCAGTCGTAAGTCCGAGGCGTCGGTAAACGAGTACCTGGAGTTTACCTGGAGAGAGTTCCGGGGGTCAATGCCCCCGCGGCCCGGTCTGTGACCAGGCTTCCTGGTGGATCAGAGCCTGATCAACCAGGCTGTTACTGCTGGCTGCACGCAATCCAAAGTACAAGCCACAGCCCGGCTGGTCAAGTACCGGCTTTAGGTGCTTGTCCAGTGCCTGCTTGAAGACAGCCAGGGGTCTATTGGTAATCCCCCTTATGTATGCTGGGAGGCAGTTGAACAGTCTTGGGCCCCTGACACTTATTGTATTGTCTCTTAACGTGCTAGTGACACCCCTGCTTTTCATTGGGGGGATGTTGCATCATCTGCCGAGTCTTTTGCTTTCTTTGTGAGTGATTTTCATGTGCAAGTTCGGTACTAGTCCCTCTAGGATTTTCCAGGTTTATATAATCATGTATCTCTCCCGCCTGCATTCCGGGGATTACAGGTTCAGGAACTTCAAGCGCTCCCAATAATTGAGGTGTTTTATCTCCGTTATGCGCGCCGTGAAGGTTCTCTGTACATTTTCTAGGTCAGCAATTTCACCTGCCTTGAAAGGTGCTGTTAGTGTGCAGCAATATTCCAGCCTAGATAGAACACGCGACCTGAAGAGTGTCATCATGGGCTTGGCATCTCTAGTTTTGAAGGTTCTCATTATCCTTCAAAACTAGAGATACCAAGCCCATGATGACACTCTTCAGGTCGCTTTTTCTATCTAGGCTGGAATATTGCTGCACACTAACAGCACCTTTCAAGGCAGGTGAAATTGCTGACCTAGAAAATGTACAGAGAACCTTCACGGCGAGCATAATGGAGATAAAACACCTCAATTACTGGGAGCGCTTGAAGTTCCTGAACCTGGGATGTTAGAGCCACTAATTATGCAAATGAATTTTGGGCAAACTAATCATAAGATTTACATACTATTTATATCTAGGCCTAGTAGCTTACATTATTACAGCTTGAGTGATTCATTACAGTCATAAGTACAATGAGATAGGTTGCAAATAAAGAAAAACAGTAAATTAAAGATAAATTACCTTGAAATTATATTGGTTCAATGGTATGAATTTTTTAAAGTGGTTGAACTGAGGTGGTGAAATCAAAGCATGAAAATTTACAGAGTAAATGGAAAGTTAACGGTGGGAGTAAATATAACTTACCAATGCAAGCAATCATTAAAGACATCTCCTCCAACAGCATCAAAGATAATATCTACACCTTTACCATTCGTCACTTCATTTACCTGCAAGACACAGAAGAATTAGTGAATTGTATATACAGTGCAAATGCATCAACAAGGGCCAAATTCTGTCATTTCCAGATTTGTCCATTAATGTTAGGACCATGGAAAAACCATCTCATGTTTAATGGACAATCAGCATGAGAAGACACCCCTCTCCCATTACTAGTTTATTAAATCAAGATTTCTCTGAACCTGCACATCTACCTTACAACAATTCTAAACTCGCACCAGTTTCATGAAACACCAAAGTATGTATAGATAAATAGACCATACCCCGCGTGTGGTATGGTTTGTTTGCAATTGTGTCATTATGATTTCGTGAGTCATATAGATAAATAGTTCAGAGAACCGACAGGTTGATAAATTAGATACACGTGCAACACTTGGGTACCTTTACTGTGGGAATGTTACACTACATAGTGGCTTCATAAGTCTAATACAAAGAAGAATGGTGAAGATCAGAAGGAGTTTAAGGTAATCAGTTCATCACTCTTGATTGACTGATTACATTGACTCCAGGCTGAGGGACTGACTACCTCAAACTCCTTCTGATCTCCACCATTCTTCTTTGTACTGAACTGATGAAGCCACTGTGTGGCAAAACATTTCATTAATAAAGATACCCAAGTGTTGCACATGTGTGTAATATACAAACACCAAATTAGTCAAAAATTTCTGCTTGAAGTAAATTATGTTTTGAGAATCAAAGGATGATCAAGACTAATAAGCAGGGCAGAACAGTGCAGAAAGGTCAAAAAAAAAAAGTCAAATGGCAGCAGGTCCATAAAACTGGGTGTTCTTTATATTATAATGAATTGGTAAGGTTTAAAAAACTGACAGCAGAGAAGCAGCAGTCCACTTGTTAGCAGAGAGGAGTGAAATTTTTGCAAGTGTTGTCTCGAGTTCAGAGAGAATTTGTTTTCTTCTATTTATTCATATTTTCCATCATGTGTATAGTAGGGAAAGTCTGAGTGGTCAGAGATAGCACCAAACGTTTGGAATTTAGCCAATTGATGTCACCAGGTAAAGCATAAGAGTATTTCTTTTAAAACAATGAATCTGAAGTTGCATTACTTGATATCCTTATCACTGTTTGTGACTCAGATGTCCACTAAATGCCACCACACTAATTAAAAGGTGCCCCAAAGAGCAGCTGGCAAACACCATCTAATCTGTAATTTGATGCAGCCATTGCACACAAAACAAAGTATACCTGGAGGTTGTTTCAGGGGTCAATACTCCAGAGGCCAGTCTGTGACCAGGCCTCATGGTGAATCAGGGCCTGATCTACCAGGCTGTTACTGCTGACTGTACGTAAACTGACATACGGACCACAGCCTGGTTGGTCGGTAACTGGCCACCAAAAAAATTACTTTTTTAGGTTTTGAAATAACCAGTACGTGAGAAAATCCTGGAATAACTAGAGGGGCATCAGAATTTAAAAAAAAAAAAAAAAAGAGAGGAAACAAAATGAGAACATAAATAGAAGCAGTAAACTGAAGAGCAGATAAACCAGACAATAATAATGCAGGAATGGAAAATAACTGCAAGTGTAGCCAAACAAATTGAAGAACCAATGAAAAAAACAGATGAGGTGTAACACAGCACCACCTCAGCTATCATCAACATCGTCGTCATCATCATCATCATCATCATCATCATCATCATCGTCGTCGTCGTCGTCGTCATTGTCATCAGAGATTTAAAAGAAAAGTGCTAATAATATCAAGTTATTTTAAGAAACTGTTGACATTAAAAAGTTAAAATTTTTGACTGCAATAAAATAAAATATTCTTTGACTATGCTAGGAAATGTGTTAGTTAATGTTCTGGTAAAGAACAAAATAAAAAGGGTATTACAATTGTAACAAAAACAGTGTGAAGATTTTTCTAATTGCCAGTTTAAAGGAAGAATATGTATATTGAGAGATGCTACATGGAAGGAACATCTATATTCACTTCATATCTAGGTACGTAACAGAGTTGATGACTGGATGTTTTGTATCATCTGAAAAGTATTTATAAAATACATATACGTTCTTGCAGTACAAGTGTGCCTTCAAGTTTTCCATTACTCACTCAAACATGTTCTATGTCCTAGAAGAGTCAGTTGATTAGCAGCATATTCCATGTGAACCTTCACAGAAAACTTGTGGCCCAGAGGTACTGGGTCCAGCATATAAATAAATAGGATCTATGTTCGATCCCTGGGTGAGCAGAGATGAACAGGCAAGCCTTCTTACATCTAGCAGTACACAGGTACTGTATGAGGACTTAATGGGTTACCATGGGTCACATCCAAGGAAAGAGAACTAAAGAACCTCCCCCCACCCCCCAAAAAAAAGTGCCACAGTACTTTGGATTTCTTTAGTTAACCTGGGAATAAAAATTTGTAATGATCATCATCTGTCACATTGATATACTTTTGAAATTTAACTCTTTTTCTTCCACTTTTTTCCTTCCCCTCCCTTCCTTCCCTCCCTCCCTCCTTCCCTTCCTTCCTTCCTTCCTTCCTTCCCTCCCTCTCTCCCCCCTTCTCTTCCTTCTTCCCTCCCCTCCCACCCTCCCTTCCTTCCTTCCTTATACAATGTAAACTTATTCTACAGAATGGGTTCACACTTGTGTTTTGTCTTGGAACATCTGTGCCATGTTATATAAGAGTTATGAGAACACTATAAAATAGATTAACGAGTAGCAAGATATACATTAATACAGTGGAACCTTGGTTTTCATTTTTAATTCGTTCCAGAGAGTCTGACAAAAGCCAAATTCAACAAAAATTAAAGCAATATTTCCCATAAGAGATAATGTAAATCCAATTAATCCGTTCCAGACACCCAAAAATATTAACAAAAAATACACTTTAGAGAGAATAGCTATAGTTTTACATACAGAAAATAATGAGAAATAAATATAAACCACTAATTTTAATGGATAAATGAACATATAAATCAGTTAAACCTTTATTGAAGACTCTTGTTGGCGTATGGAAGATGCGAGGAGGGGAGAGGGAGGAGAGTATATTGTTTGGAAGGGGAATCCCCTTCCATAAGAACTTCAGGTATCAAGTCCCTATCCGGGGTTACTTCCCTTCTTTGTCTTTTACTGGCACTAGGAAAAGCTTGAGAGTCACTGTACCCTTGTTGCACAAAAATCTGTCCAGAGAGGTCTGGTGTAGGTAGCCGGTAGATGTAGGTATGTAGTCCGCCTGGGCTACGTACCTACACCTACGTACCTACATAGCTACACGATATTTAATACAGCCCAAAGCTATATTATTACCATCGACATAATATGTTCAGGGAGTTTAATTGTTTCTGACAACTACCTCTAGCTCCATGGGGAAATGGAACAGAATTTTTCCTTCGTAAGCCATGCGTGTCGTAAGAGGCGACAAAAATGCCGGGAGCAAGGGGCTAGTAGCCCCTTCTCCTGTATATATTACTGAATGTGAAAGGAGAAGCTTTTGTTTTTCCTTTTGGGCCACCCCGCCTCTGTGGGATACGGCTGGTGTGTTGAAAGAAGGAAACTACCTTTAGATGCCATTATTAATAAAGGGAGAAGTAATGAATGATTCATGCCGAGAATTGTGAAAAAAAGCATTATGTATTAAGGGGGTGACTGGGCCAACGCAGATTCATACACGTTTTCGCTCGTGCTGGACCAGAGAAAACGTAATGTTTTCCCTCCACCCAACTACCATCCCTCCATAGCATATAAACATTGCATGTTTATATGCTATGTAACGTGTTTCTTATATAATTTTGAAGAAAATATCATGGATGGGTTAATGAAAATGTCTATATTAACATAAAATAAGACATTCAATGTGTCCAAGAGTGATCATTATTATGTATTATATTACTATGGTGTTAAGACTAGAGGGACACTCTTAGTGATTTTAAAGTGTACCTGCACAAAAACCAAGGTGACGAACGAAAACTGGGACAATATTTTGACGAAAAAATCATCGAAAACTGAATTAAATGAAAACCAGCACAAACGAAAACCAAGGTTCCACTCTAAGTATATGCACACTGTAATAAAAGCCAAAAATTCTACTGCATGCATGTTTCTATCAACTGATTCTTAGTACCTCGTTTAGTATTTCTTCCAAAAAAGAGTTATTCAGGAAAATTTGATGAATATTGTATTTGCATCATTATACATACCTACCTTTGCCAGAATATGCTTCTTATTGTATTTAAGAGCTGACCAAGCACCTTTCTTGCGAACAAGATCTGCTTTGTCCTCTGTCCCACAGACACCAATAACCTGAATAATTAATAAAACTTATAAATGTTATACTGTAATATGGAAAAATGTAAGTATTACATATATTAAACAATACATTTATTAATAGGTAGTAGGTTGGTAGACAGCAATCACCCAGGGAAGTACTACCGTCCTGCCAAGTGAGTGTAAAACGAAAGCCTGTAATTGTTTTACATGATGGTAGGATTGCTGGTGTCTTTTGTCTGTCTCATAAATATGCAAGATTACAAGTATGTCTTACTACTTCTACTTACACTTAGGTCACACTACACATACATGTACACGTTTATTTATACACACTCACCTGAGTTGTCTTTGATGTTATTTTAATAGTTCTTGGCCTTATTACTTTTCCTTTTATATCCATGGGGAAGTGGAATAAGAATCTTTCCTCCGTAAGCCATGCGTGTTGTAAAAGTCAACTAAAATGCCAGGAACAATGGGCTAGTAACCCCTTTTCCTGTAAAGATTACTAAAAAGAATAAGAAGAAGAAAACTGTCAAAGTGGGAAGTCTGAATGTGCGTGTATGTTGTGCAAATGATAAGAAAGAGATGATTGTGGATGTTATGAATGAGAAGCTGGATGTCCTGGCTTTAAGTGAAACAAAGCTGAAAGGGGTGGGAGAGTTTCAATGGAGAGAAATAAATGGGATTAGGTCAGGGGTTTCAAATAGAGTTAGAGCTAAAGAAGGAGTAGCAATAATGTTGAAGGATAAGCTATGGCAGGAAAAGAGGGACTATAAATGTATTAATTCAAGGATTATGTGGAATAAAATGAAGATTGGATGTGAAAAGTGGGTTATAATAAGCGTGTATGCACCTGGAGAAGAGAGAAGTGTAGAGGAGAGAGAGAGATTTTGGGAAATAATGAGTGAATGCGTGGGGAGTTTTGAATCAAGTGTGAGAGTAATGGTGGTTGGGGATCTCAATGCTAAAGTGGGTAAAAATGTTATGGAGGGAGTAGTAGGCAAATTTGGGGTGCCAGGGGTAAATGTAAATGGGGAGCCTTTAATTGGGCTATGTGTAGAAGGAGATTTGGTAATAAGTAATACATATTTTATGAAAAAGAGGATAAATAAATATACAAGGTATGATGTAGCACGTAACGAAAGTAGTTTATTAGATTATGTATTGGTGGATAAAAGGTTGATGGGTAGGTTCCAGGATGTACATGTTTATAGAGGGGCAACTGATATATCGGATCATTATTTAGTTGTAGCTACAGTTAGAGTAAGAGGTAGATGGGAAAAGAGGAAGGTGGCAACAACAAGTAAGGGAGGTGAAAGTGTATAAACTAAGGGAGGAGGAAGTTCGGGTGAGATATAAGTGACTATTGGCAGAAAGGTGGGCTAGTGCAAAGATGAGTAGTGGGGAGGTTGAAGAGGGTTGGAATAGTTTTAAAAATGCAGTATTAGAATGTGAGGCAGAAGTTTGTGGTTATAGGAGGGTGGGGGCAGGAGGAAAGAGGAGTGATTGGTGGAATGATGAAGTAAAGGGTGTGATAAAAGAGAAAAAGGTAGCTTATGAGAGGTTTTTACCAAGCAGAAGTGTTATAAGAAGAGCAGAGTATATGGAGAGTAAAAGAAAGGTGAAGAGAGTGGTGAGAGAGTGCAAAAGGAGAGCAGATGATAGAGAGGGAGAGGCATTGTCAAGAAATTTTAATGAAAATAAGAAAAAATTTTGGAGTGAGTTAAACAAGTTAAGAAAGCCTAGGGAAAGTATGGATTTGTCAGTTAAAAACAGAGTAGGGGAGTTAGTAGATGGGGAGATGGAGGTATTAGGTAGATGGCGAGAATATTTTGAGGAACTTTTAAATGTTGAGGAAGAAAGAGAGGCGGTAATTTCATGCACTGGCCAGGAGGTATACCATCTTTAGGAGTGAAGAAGAGCAGAATGTAAGTGTGGGGAGGTACGTGAGGCATTATGAAGAATGAAAGGGGGTAAAGCAGCTGGAACTAATGGGATCATGACAGAAATGTTAAAAGCAGGGGGGGGATATAGTGTTGGAGTGGTTGGTACTTTTGCTTAATAAATGTATGAAAGAGGGGAAGGTACCTAGGGATTGGCAGAGAGCATGTATAGTCCCTTTATATAAAGGGAAAGGGGACAAAAGAGATTGTAAAAATTATAGAGGAATAAGTTTACTGAGTATACCAGGAAAAGTGTACGGTAGGGTTATAATTGAAAGAATTAGAGGTAAGACAGAATGTAGGATTGCGGATGAGCAAGGAGGTTTCAAAGTGGGTAGGGGATGTGTAGATCAAGTGTTCGCATTGAAGCATATATGTGAACAGTATTTAGATAAAGGTAGGGAAGTTTTTATTGCATTTATGGATTTAGAAAAGGTATATGATAGAGTGGATAGAGGAGCAATGTGGCAGATGTTGCAAGTATATGGAATAGGTGGTAAGTTATTAAATGCTGTAAAGAGTTTTTATGAGGATAGTGAGGCTCAGGTTAGGGTGTGTAGAAGAGAGGGAGACTACTTCCCAGTAAAAGTAGGTCTTAGACAGGGATGTGTAATGTCACCATGGTTATTTAATATATCTATAGATGGGGTTGTAAAAGAAGTAAATGCTAGGGTGTTCGGAGAGGGGGTGGGATTAAATTTTGGGGAATCAAATTCAAAATGGAATTGACACAGTTACTTTTTGCTGATGATACTGTGCTTATGGGAGATTCTAAAGAAAAATTGCAAAGGTTAGTGGATGAGTTTGGGAATGTGTGTAAAGGTCGAAAGTTGAAAGTGAACATAGAAAAGAGTAAGGTGATGAAGGTATCAAATGATTTAGATAAAGAAAAATTGGATATCAAATTGGGGAGGAGGAGTATGGAAAAAGTGAATGTTTGCAGATACTTGGGAGCTGACCTGTCGGCGGATGGATTTATGAAGGATGAGGTTAAACATAGAATTGACGAGGGAAAAAAGGTGAGTAGTTTGTTGAGGTATATGTGGAGTCAAAAAACGTTATCTATGGAGGCAAAGAAGGGAATGTATGAAAGTATAGTAGTACCAACACTCTTATATGGGTGTGAAGCTTGGGTGGTAAATGCAGCAGCGAGGAGACGGTTGGAGGCAGTGGAGATGTCCTGTTTAAGGGCAATGTGTGGTGTAAATATTATGCAGAAAATTCGGAGTGTGGAAATTAGGAGAAGGTGTGGAGTTAATAAAAGCATTAGTCAGAGGGCAGAAGAGGGGTTGTTGAGGTGGTTTGGTCATTTAGAGAGAATGGATCAAAGTAGAATGACATGGAAAGCATATAAATCTATAGGGGAAGGAAGGCTGGGTAGGGGTCATCCTCGAAAAGGTTGGAGAGAGGGGGTAAAGGAGGTTTTGTGGGCGAAGGGCTTGGACTTCCAGCAAGCGTGCGTGAGTGTGTTAGATAGGAGTGAATGGAGATGAATGGTACTTGGGACCTGACGATCTGTTGGAGTGTGAGCAGGGTAATATTTAGTGAAGGGATTCAGGGAAACCGGTTATTTTCATATAGTCGGACTTGAGTCCTAGAAATGGGAAGTACAATGCCTGCACTTTAAAGGAGGGGTTTGGGATATTGGCAGTTTGGAGGGATATGTTGTGTATCTTTATATGTATGTGCTTCTAAACTGTTGTATTCTGAGCACCTCTGCAAAAACAGTGATAATGTGTGAGTGTGGTGAAAGTGTTGAATGATGATGAAAGTATTTTCTTTTTGGGGATTTTCTTTCTTTTTTGGATCACCCTGCCTGAGTGGGAGACGGCTGACTTGTTGAAAAAAAAAAAACATTTATTTTTTCCAGCAAGGTGGGGTGCTTCAAAGAAAACATTCACCATTATTCACTCTTTAACTGTGCAAAGACATTGTGGTCAAATTTTAACTCAGCATGGTGCAACATTTACCAAAATCACTTTCCAAGTGCAGGTGTTGTACACCCCAGCTTCCAAAACTCAAGTACAGACAGCCAGTTTTCCTGATTACCTTCACAAGTATTTCCATGGACCAAGAGCATGTCACCTCAACTCCACTAACTCTTAAAACAAACAAAAAATACACAACAACCAGTAAAGAGGGGGTCCCGGAGCTGTGGCTTGATCCCTGAAACCACAAATAGGTGAGTATGCATGCACACACATTCAGAGAGAGAGAGAGAGAGAGAGAGAGAGAGAGAGAGAGAGAGAGAGAGAGAGAGAGAGAGAGTGTGGTGTGTGTGTGTGTGTGTGTGTGTGTGTGTGTGTGTGTGTGTGTGTTGTGTGTGTGTGTGTGTGTGTGTGTGTGTGTGTGTGTGTGTGTGTGTGAGTGTGTGTGAGTGTGTGTGAGTGTGTGTGGGGTGTGTGTGAGTGTGTGTGAGTGTGTGTGAGTGTGTGAGTGTGTGTGTGAGTGTGTGTGAGTGTGTGTGAGTGTGTGTGAGTGTGAGTGTGTGTGAGTGTGAGTGTGAGTGTGAGTGTGAGTGTGAGTGTGTGTGTGTGAGTGTGTGAGTGTGTGTGTGTGGTGGTGTGAGTGGTGTGTGGTGTGTGTGTGTGTGGGGTGTGTGTGTGTGTGAGTGTGTGAGTGTGTGAGTGGGGAGTGTGTGAGTGTGTGAGTGTGAGTGTGTGAGTGTGAGTGTGTGAGTGTGAGTGTGTGAGTGTGAGTGTGTGAGTGTGAGTGTGTGTGTGTGTGTGTGAGAGTGTGTGTGTGTGAGAGTGAGTGTGAGTGTGTGTGAGTGTGTGTGAGGTGAGAGTGTGTGTGAGTGTGTGTGAGAGTGAAGTGTGTGTGATGTGAGTGTGTGTGAGTGTGAGTGTATGTGAGTGTGAGTGTGTGTGAGTGTGTGTGAGTGTGTGTGAGTGTGTGTACTCACCTATATGTGGTTGCAGGGGTCGAGTCATAGCTCCTGGCCCTGCCTCTTCACTGGTCGATACTAATTCACTCTCTCCCCTGCTCCTTGATATTTGTCATACCTCTTCTTAAAGCAAATTTATGGAACTTGCTTCCACTACTTCACTCTCCAGATTATTCCAGTTCCTGATAACTCTAAGAATACTT